GGGGGTGTTTTCGGCTGCACGGGGTGGGGGTGGGGGTGTTGGGGTGCTGCAGCCTGGGGAAAAACTCTGGTATTTTTTGCTTTCCTCTTCTCTGCTCCGGTTGGGCCACTTCTTCCCGGGCAGAGGCACCGGAGGGAGGACAGGAGGCCCTTTCTGCTCACAGCCCTGCCCTTTGCAAGCCCTGGGACCTAAATTTGAGCTAAACCGGGACTAATTTGAACTAAACCGGGGCTAATTTGAACTAAACTGGGACTGATTTTAACCGGCTCTGCCTCCTTCGTTCCCCCCCTGCAGCAGGTGAACCAGGACCTGAGCCGGCAGCTGCTGCAGGACGGGTACCACCTCGACGAGGTCCCCGATGACGAAGATCTGGATCTCATCCCCCCGAAACCCGTCGCCTCCTCTTCTTGCCCCTGTTGTTTCGGAGAAAATCTCTCCTGCGTGATCCAGTAAGCGGGGAGGGGGTGGCCCGTGCAAGAACAGGTCAGAAACCAGCACTTTCTTTGTCCCGTGGGATGGCTGTTGGTGGCCCCGTCCCGCCACGCCGGGACAGTGACGCGAGGACTGAACAACGCTGCGATGCCGCTCGTGGTGAGCGGCTGCGACCAACCCGCCCCAAAGGACTTTTCCGTACGCTCAGCAATATCGGGGGGAGAGGTGGCACGGTGACGTTGAGGTGGGACCTGGATGGGACCTGGATGGGTGGGGAGGGAGGAGAGGCAGAGCCCACGGAGGGGTGTAAAGGGAAGGGATTAGGAGGTGCGACACCAAACGCTCTTCGGTTCGCCTGACCTCCTCTTTTCCCCCTTTAATCGGCCACGTTGAGGATTAGGACCCGGACCTGGCCCCAGGTTGCCCTCCCCGATGGTGGTTGATGGTGGGGTGGAACTGCCGTGAGGCAGGACCGGGCTGGGAAGCCCCGAGACCCTTTTTCTATTTATTTTCGCTTTTGTCACCCTTCCTCCTTGGCAGGCTGAGGCCAAGCCGGCGAGGTTGGGGTCGCCTGGGAGAGCCCCTTCATTTACCTATCATCTCCTTGCTGCTTGCAATTAATTGCTGCTGGCTTTCCTCTTCCCGAAGCCCGGGCTGATCCAAACCAAAGATGGCAGCTCCGATGGAGAAGATGAGATGAGGGGGAACCCGCCGGAGCGGATTGGGGTGGGCTGCTGAGCTTTCGAGCATCTGCGTTTGGTATATCCACCAGCAGCTACTGCTCGGGCTGGGGGAACCTCCTCGCTTTCCGCCTCTTGAGGGACCCCTTAAATTCTGGGTTTGGAGCTAATGGATGTGCCAGCTCTGCACAGGTCCCTCTGGGGTGCAGATTTAGGGAATCTTCCTGCTGCGAACCTTAAAAGCTGCCTTAAATCACAGTCCTGCTCTACTACGTGGAAGACAATCAGCTGCTTGTAAGAAACCTTATTGAAATATTTCACGTTTAGAGAACCGAACTGGTTTTTGGGTTTGTGGTTGGGTTTTTTTGGTATTTTTCTCAAAAGGAGCACTCAATAAACCCGATCTGGTTACTCGGAGGGTACGTTGGTGCTGTGGCGGGGGGCTGAGCCCCGCTCCCCCCAGCAGCCCTGCTTGGGGGTCTTCTTCCCTTGACCCCCCCCCCCACAGCTATATGCAGGAAGGGGTGTGCCATTTTCGCAGCGATGATCCCGTTCCCCTCGTCACATTTTCCCCCTCCCGTGTCTTTTTTCCCTGCGGAGCTGCCGTCTCGCGTGGGCTGATGCCGCGGCAGGGCGATGCGGGGAAGGGTGGTCACAGCCGGGGGGGATGCCAGAGCTGCCCCCAACCTCCTCCTCCTCCTCCTCTTATTCATACAAACAACTCCAACTTCTCCCCATCCTCCTGCTCCCTCCACCACGCTGCCCTGCACCGGGGGGACAAAGTCACCACTTTTATTCACAGCACCGGAGGCTCTCCATCTCCATCATCCCCCCTCTCTGAAAAAAAAAAAAAGCCCCTTTTTACAGCTGGGGAAGGGGTGAGATGGCTCAGAGGACAACCTGCCACCAGCAGTGCTCGGGAAGAGCCCACCGAGCACCCAAGAGCAGCAGAAAGCCTCAGCACATCATATTTGGGGGACGGGGGGAGCAGCAGCTCCTAAAAGCCGGGCAGAGGTGCCGGAGAACCCGGGGGTTGCGGATGTCAGGGCCTCCCTGCTGCTTTTCGGCGAGAAGGAAAAGCAGAGGGGAGGGGGGGGGTGGGAAAAAGAGACCCCAAATAAAAGGAGTCGCCGTAGGGCGTTAGCAGCGCCCAAAGGAGATGATGCTCCGGGGACGCGGCTCACCAGCTGTGGAGGGAGATGCTCTTTGCCCACGCCGTGCCGCGTCCAAGGAGGCGACGCGTGGAATTGCTCTGTCTCTACCTGGGGTGCGGGCTGGTTTGGGGGTTTAAGAGCTGGAGGGGAGACTTCCAAGCGAGATGACTTTGCCCAGGCCAGTTTCTATCTAGATCTACTCAAACGTGGAGTGATGGTGGGGCGGTGGTGGTGGCGGGGGGGGGCCCCGGGGGCGCT